GCAGCTGCCAGTTTATGACTTTATTCATTTTCACATTTAGATATTACAACAAAACTCTTAATGACAAAGGATAACAAGTACTATAGGAGGAGAGGAAAGAAAGCAGTGTTCTAACTGGTTTGATATATAACCGTGAACTTCCAGAGACAAGACTCAACGTGAGTTATAAACACTCACATACGCTCACCGGTAGGAGAACTTCTCACGTGCAAATACTCACACACTCACCCACAAAACACTCACACACACTCACAGACCACACTTTTGTACTCACACATAACCCATGTTGTAACCTACTTGCTTCAAAGGCAACCCACTGAAACATTGAATGCTGCTGTAGCAACAACAGGTACCAGGTTAAAATATTGCAATATAAATGAAGTGTTACTTGATACACAGGTTTTTCTTCGGAGACACAAGTGTATTTGCAAGTAGGGGACCCAGCGCTTTGTTTTCATGAGGGAGGAATGTCTTCTCAACACCAACATTTTGTCAGGAGAAATGAGACCATGTATAGAGCGGGAACATTCATTTTAAAGGAGGATGATGATAAATAGCTTAGCTTCAATGTTGAGTTCCAGTAAAAAGCCCAAACCAGAGTGCATTGTGAACAGAGCAAGCACAGCTATCAAAGCCTGGGTTTTAAAGTTGAAATGCTCCCTTGTTGCTGTAGAAAGACAGACAGCACTGCTGCCTAACATCTTAAAACCAAACCAGACCAGCTTCATTTCATGCTGACACTTATCCAGAGACTGTAAAAATCATAATGCCAGAAATAATGCAAGAATGTAGGGAAGGGTATCAGGTTTGTACACTCTAAATTTAGTATACTTTTAAGAGAGCGTGAAAGTACAATTGTTTCAACAGCTCTTCAATAACCCACACTGCAATTGTTCTTTATCAGCAGGAGTGTCTGAAGAGGAGCCAGCGTTTGCTCATATGATGGCTGCATTGTTCATGCAATGCTGTTGATGCAGATACAGTAGGATCTGATTCCACACATCCTCCAAGATGGTGCAAAAGAGAGAAAATAAACTTCTGTGGAGTCGAATGATTTGAATGTTCAAAAATCAGATGTGACACCAGTGCTTTCCCCAGAGCGAAACAGGGGATCATTAACAATGGCTCTAATGAAGTAACCCTTCTGCACAGGGATGCTTATGAGCAATTTACAGCTGAACCTAGAGACAAAGCACAGCTGTCCTGGCTGGTGGGGAGTGCTGAGGGTGCTCAGATAGCTCTGTCCCCTTCTTGCTGAAGAATCCTGCCAGTGCCCTGCAAGTGTCCGGCTTTGCTAGCATGCTTCTATCCCTCACATATGGACAAGGACTTGCAGCTACTTTGGCATTCTGTTTTTCAACTATTATTTTATTTATAGGCCTCTTTCTTAGGGCCTCTCTCAGAGGCAGAGAACAGTTTGTGAAGCACTGGAAACAAGAGAGCCCAGGTCCTATGGATGCACATCACCAAGCAAGTAGCCTCAATTTAGCCTAGCTGCCTGTCACCTTCCACCCATGTGAATGCTGGTGCAGGCCCCCAGCAACACGGGGCACTTGCAGCCTTCCTCCTGTCAGGGGAACCACCAGTCCAAAAACCAGGGCAAGATGAGGGCAGGAGAATTTGGTCTGGCCTACACACTGTGGGCTGTCCTACTTCCTTGGCCTGGCTCTCCAGCATCTCCTGCCAGAGGATTTTTACCGAGTCATAACAATTACTTAAAGATGCTTAAATTCCTGGCAACTTCAGGGAACATCAGTAGAAGTCAGGGAATTCATTGTCACATGCAGTTTCCAATTCCACATCCTGAGCCAGTTTGGCTCAAGGTGGTTGGTTTTGTGCCTCTTTTTTTTTTTGCCATGGAAATTGCAGCCATGTCATTCTACTGACACAAAAAGGGAGGGGAACATTGAGCGCTCTGAGCACAGGCTTAGAGAATCTGAATGACAGGCATGCTTTTCCCATGTGCTAAATAAATCTCCCCATTACACTTGAGTGGAGAACTATAATTAAGACTTGGGAACGTCATTTGTAAGGACTCACAGGCTCATGTCAGGAAACGCATAAAACCCTCTGCTGGAAAAGAAATAACAGTTTGGGAAAGCAGTACATCTGACAGGAAACACAGTTTTAAAAGTCCAGACCAAACCCTTGGCTCTCTGCACAGAGGTGTGGCCCGCATGCAGAAACACCCCAGTGCTGAGATGCCCTGGAGCAAGGAGCTGTGCCAGTCACAGGCATGTGGGAGAAGAGATGATGACAAGCTGTTCTGATGATCTTGTTCACCCTGACTCCTCTGGCATTGATGTATCCGTACTCTGTGGCTGAGCGCTCAGATTGTGAGCAGGGTGGAAAGCAGTAGGTGGGAAGCAGAGAGGCAGCAGCACAGAAATCTGTAGAGAGGGGCTGTGGAGGTTCCCCAGAGCTCTGAATTCACGTGATATCTTTTAGAAACAAAAGGCCCAAGTGATGAGACGTTTCCTCGGCAAATCCTCCAGAGACAGGTACACTGTGCTGGCGGCTCTACAACAGAAACTGGAGAGGAGCCTGTTGGGCAGAGAGTGCCTCCTCAGAGCCAGGGAACTAGGGTGACAGGGAAGATCATGGTCCAGAACTGTCCATCCAGGAGAACTGGGGCTTGAGCCCTGGCCAGGTGCTACCTTCCATGTGCTCAGTGATGCCAGCACCCCAGGGGATGAAACCCAGAGCACCTCACTGCTGGAGCTCTGTTCCTTCCATTGTTTCCAAAGCCCTTGCAGCAACTTGGAAATAAACATTTCACTCCCTACCACTTTGATCCTCTTCCTCCCAGCAAACAACCCATTTTCATTGTATGTTTAGAAACCAGCTGAAATTAACACAGCTTTGCTTTAATTTCTCACTGGAGCAACAAATGATCTCAGCACTGCTCTAGGAGAAGGGGAAGGTGAGAGCAGCAGACGTGTGAGTAACGTACTCTCAGCACAGATCACATAAACCCCTGTTTTGCATAGGGTCTGCAAAAAGATTTGCTATTTATCTCACAGGGAGGACTCTAGCCATCATCTGATGACTACTCAGCACTAGCTGTGTTGAGATGGCTAAAATAATCCTGGTGATAACGCAGATTGACAAGTTTCCTCCCAGCAGAGATAAGAGTGGTGTGGGTGTTGCTTGCAGAGGAGATGAAGAGGCTGGCATCTGCTCAGAATGAACAGTGTGCATGAACATTTACAAAGATCCCTCGGGATCTCTCCATACACCTCTTTAAAATGTCCTGCTCTTGCTGCAAATACCACTAGGGATTTCTTCCCTTTGATTCTGCTCCACAGTTCAGCAGCTGACATCATGAAGAGAGGAGGAGGAAGCAATCCAAGGAAAAACATTCAGGCTGCACACCAGGAAGAAACTTGAGACTAAGACGGATCTATTTATATCTGACCTGAAATGGGCTTTCTGAATGGGAAGCTGATCTGAGCGGAGGCTGGATGCTAGGCAGAAGGTGCTGTAGTGCTGAACACAGGCACCCACTCGCTGGCAGAATGCATCTGTCTGAGCCACAGGAAGAAAAGAAACACAAGGAATCAGCAAGGTGCTCTCTCCAGTCCCGGCATGGGGAAGCTACAGCTGGTGGTGCTGTGTGAGCCATCGCGCTGCGGTTCCCCATCCATTCGGGGTAGGTTCCCTGCTGGGGTTGGGCATAGGCTGAAGTAGAAGTTCTGAGTGACTCTGGTGACGTGCCTGGAGGGTGAGAGGGGATGCCTCGGCAGGTGCCTCCAGGGCCTGATGCCGTTAGTACTGCTCGGAGAAGAAGGAAGCATGGAGAGTGGGGGGACTGGCCCCCTCTCCAGGCGGGGTGCAGCTGCCGTCCTCAGAGTGTTCTGACAGCTCCCCGTATTCACTGTTGTAAAAAGTCTGGCCTCCGACTTGGGACCCATACGACGGACGACATCTGCCCCGCAGGTCCGACTGTTCCCCCGGCAGCTCCGCAGTTCGGCTCGGCCCTTTACTGCTGGGAGGGAGAGACACACAAAAGATCAATCTGAGCACTCCCAGAAACCCTCTGTCATGCTTAGATTGATCCCAGCTTCAGGAATCATATGCTAATGCACGGGGCAGAGGCAGGGTCAGGAATGGACCTACACCTCGTTTCAAAGCACACCACCAGGCCTTGCTCTAAACCTAGGCACAGCCCATATGGCTTGTGGAAAATCTGCACATAACCCAGCGATAGTTATTTCAGCTCTTCTAGGTATTTTTTGGGAAGCCCAGAGAAGGGTTGGGACCCCAATGAACAGGGAGAGACAAGAGACATTGCCATAATTGCTCCTAGACCTGGCAGGAGTAACAGAAACTGATACAGACCAACAGCCAGGGTGGGGAAAGGAAACAAAGGAAGATGATGAAGAAACTGTGGGAGGAAATCAGCAACCCCGTCTCAGTGCCTGCCAATACCAGGTGACTGGCAAGAAGTCACAAGAGCAAGGGCAAGTACACACTCAAGAACAGGTTTAAGGGCAGTGTTTTCCAGAAGACAGGGTGCCAGGTACCCCAATGGTGTAGGATACAACAGGAACATGCCTTAGGGAAAAAGAGGACAAGGACAAGAAGCAGGAGACAGGCAGATACAATAGCAGAGAGGCCACAGGGCTATGGCTAAGGGAAAAGACAATGACCAGTCTGATCTGATGCTGGGAGGCAGAGGAGGTGAGGAAGAGGCTTGGGACTAGTCTTGTCTACACATGAGCTGACATGACTTGCTCAATGCACTGTCACAGAGACAAGGTCCCAGCCTGCTTTGGCACCAAGCAGAGATGAGCTGGACAGGTTCTTGCCCAGTTTCCAAGCCTGGGGCAAAGACATAACCATCCGTAACACCCTTAGTGTGCCAGCTCAGCCTGCCAGGCTCAGTACCAGCATGTGGGAAGTCCTAAGGCCTGCACCATCCCTGCAATGCCACATCGGGGCTGACATGGGTCAGGGCTGTGGGAGGGAGGAGGAGGTGGCAGCCACATAGTTTCCATCCATCCCACCTGACACATTTCACCAGAAAATGTCAATAAGCATTCAGAGTCTTATCAACCCCATCACTCCACTGTGCCTCATTATCCTAACGAACACATTCTCATTGAAGGAGCACAGTCTATATTTTTAAACCCTAGGAAGCAGCAGGCAGGTCTGGTTTTATGCATTTTGCCTCTCGTTAATGTGCATGGACTTATCTGGCTCAGGGCCCAGAGCCCTGCTGCGAGCTCCAAGAGGTATTTATCCTGCGGGGAGACACCAGGAGCTGCCTCCTGCTCTCACTGCATTTGGCAGCAGGGAGAACTGAGTGGCTAGACTTAAGGAGTACCTGAATCCACCTTCTTTTCTGTGTCGGTTTTCTATCCTCTCAAATTCCTCAGATGCCAGAACCATCCCACTGTCTGTCTGATTGTCCTGGAAGGAAGCAACAGGAGTTATCAGTAACATCCCTGTCGACTGATTAGAGTGGGAAGGAAGGAGGAATCATTCAGGAGATGAGATCATGTGTGTCTGTGACAGGGAAAAAGGAGTAGGGACACTTCACCAGCATGCTCCATAGTCTTGCTGGAAGTGATTTCCTTAGGTGCCTTCTTAAATGCAGCACATACTGTGTGTAGTTCCATGCCACTTTTTGGGAAAAAAAGAAACAAACCAGTGTTCTCTGCCTGGAAGATGTATTACCGTCAACTCTGAGCGAGGTGAGATCTCCCTCTGAGACTAAAGGTATGACTTAAGTTTTGCCACTAGAGGAGATATTAAGTACCAGCCCAGTTCAGAGAGGCCAGGAGGGCCCCTACTGCACACTGTTGTGTGGGTCAAGGTACAGAATGTACAAAGATTCTGGATTTACCTAGTCCTGGCTGGATTTCAGTATGCTTAACCAGGCCATGTTCACAGATTTGAGAAGGGGGAAGAGCAGGCTCTTCTCTGAGGTCCTTTATAGTTCCCTTGCTTGCAGACCTAACCTCCCTATTGCACACTCAGACAGTACAAACTGTGCTGCAGAGAAACCCCTATGTGCCAGGTGGAGAAATGAATGGGCATAAGACTGGATGGACTGAACAGGAATGACACAGACAGACTGACATTAGATAGGAGTGATCTTCCTTCCATGATCCTAACAGCAAAACTGTCAGGAAACAGCTGAACGTTTCTTTGCCCCCTGCTCCACTCCGCTCAGATGCTACTCACCGGGTGTGCCTTGTACATTGTATGTGTCATGGGAAACTCTTCAAATGTCTTTATCCTGGATGGACACCTGATCTGATTTCCTCCCGTCAAACAACCAGGGAACGAGACACAGTTGTAGTATCTGCTGACAGAAGCATACTGTGCTCAGTAAAACCAACAGAGTCCGTGTCCTGAATAAACAGGACCCAAACCAACCTCCCCTCCATGCAACCAAAGTGTGCAGGGAGGCAGGTGATCTAAATGGTGGGTTTTGGGAGGGGAATGGGGTCACCTTAGGCCTCTCAACCCCATGCTACTTCTGCAGTGGGGAGCACCCAGACTTCCTGATCCTATCAGGCCCTGATTATCTCTCCACTTTGGATAAGCAGAATAATGTCATATAGATCCCAGGCATCTCACTATCACAGATCCCCAGGGATGAGAAGCCTAGGTCTAGTTGTTTGAGCAAGTTAGAAATTGATAGGATGAAACTCCTGCATTAGCAGAAGGGCAGAGTCCCAGCTGACACCTTCTTTCCTCAGCTACCTGATGGCCATGACACCTTTAGTGGGATGTGGTGCTCTGGCAGTGTAGGTGGAGGCAGGAGAAGGAATGTCATAGAATTACACATCAAGGTCTCTTTCTCATCAGGAAAGGAAAGCGATTTTGCTTTTATAAGCTACAAATGCTATGGATCACACCTGATCCCCTGGGATTTTCCCAACATTTTGATACTGGGTTCTCCCCATATCCCTCCTCAGGCTCCCTTACAGCTCAGGCTGCTGGCTGCCTGCTGAGCTCTCTCTGCCCTTTTCCGAGGGGATTCACCTTGCTGCTAGGCTGTGGCAGCGTATCCTCATGTCAAAGTCCTCTTCATCTGAGTTTTGCTGGGCAGAGGAAGGCACCTGGGAGAAACCATCATCTTCTGAGCTGTGAGAGTCGTTCAGCGGGATGTAATCTTTCCCTTCCTGGTAGGAAGAACAGTGAGTGGCCTTACAAGGAGGGGAAGGCTTTCCCACAGGAAAGGGCTCTACAAGCAGAAGCTGTCAGAGCTGGGGAAAAAAATTCTGGTTTATATCTTTTTCTTCTCTGGGGTAAAATATGTGGCTGGGGATTTCCGTGCCCTCTACACTAAGTAGCTGCAAGTGTTGCAGGTGTGTGGAGGTGTGCGTGAGCAGGAAAACAACCCAGTCCTATGGCACTTACAGTTCTCTAGCCTACACTGTCAGAGCACTGTGCTCCCATGGGCACATCACTGTGTCTTAGTCATGCCTGTGCTGGGATCCAGTGCTGAAAGGTTAAAATCAGGGGTGTGAGGATGAGCCAGTTCTCATATTTAATCATTTAGCCATCATCTGAAATGGAACATCAAGAAAAAGTTAAAATCAGAGCTGCACGCTCACCACAGTTAAAAGTCCTGGTGAGTTACTGCAGGGTAATGATTAGTAATAATTTCAAATAAATCTGTATATCTGACTGCTGTAATGGAACAGTTGTTTGGATCACGTGGCCCTGACATTTAGATCCAAGGATGGAGCTTTGGAACTGCTGGTGAAGTCCTGGTTTTCATTATGCAGGTGTGTGGGAGGCAGGAGCGCCAGGGCCAGAGTCAGCTGAAAAATTTCAGGTAATCATCTATGGATTAGGATGGAAATGCTGGAATGATGACTGAGAGGGCACCCACCCTGCACAGAGTGGAGCTATATTAAGATGCAGCTAGAAGGCTACCACAGAAATGAGCTCTCCAGTAGCTCTGGGAAACAGACCTCTCTGGTCCAGGAAACCCTGTGTTATCGCTTGGCCTATGCAGAAGTATTGCATTGGCCAGAGTCAGAGGAGGGCACAGTGAGGGAGCTAGTGGTGGGACAAGAAAGAGCTGTCTGGAGCTGAGCAGGGACACTGAGAGGTTTTCACCTGCTGGACGTTTTCCTGAAGAAGGTTCCCCAGTATCTCCACCAGGTCAGAGAATGTTGGTCTCTCCTTGGGATCACCATGCCAGCAGCTCAGCATTATACGGTATCTGCCAAGAAGAGATGCTGGGTTTATGCCACTTCCTATCGCATTCTGCAGCTCCCACCCATGGTGCCCACTGCAACACCATGTACCTGCACTGTGAAGGAAAGCTTGGCACCCCCCAGCACACTGGCCATGCGCACCCACTGAAAGGGTGTTGGTTCATTAAGCACTGAATGTAACAGTGCACAAGGAGCTAGTTTGGACACCTCTTGTAGCCTTCAGAGCAGGAAAGCAGAGTGCCCGCTTACAGACCCATCCCAGCACAGGTATGCAAGGGCACCTAGATAGATTTGAATGCATCTGGCTTGCCCTCCAGGCAGTTGCCTGGAGTGAAGGATGTGTTGGCTTATCTCCCACCCTGCTGAAAGGTCTTTGCATCCCACAGAGGACCTGGTCCTGCCCTATGTTGGGATCTGGGAGGTTTCTGACTCACATTTCTGCTGTGGCATACTCTGGGGCTCTCATCCTGGTACCATCTTTGAGCCTCTGGCAGAACTCCTCGTTGATCTGGACTCCAGGGTATGGAGATGCCCCTAAAGGAGGTTTGAAGAGGGGTAGGAATGTGAAATGTGCCATCAGAAACCAGTCCTTCTCAGACTGCCCTTCCTCCCAAAACACTGGAGATGTGGTCCCTTCTCATACACAGAGTCCTTGGTGCTGCCTCAGTGAGCTGGAGGACACCTCTGCATGCCTCTCTCTCCCTATTGCTCTGTTCATGGGTGGATTTTTTTTTGCCTACATAGGTGCCTCTTCCCATCACATCCCTTAGATGTGCTTCATAATGTCAGGGCCTCCTGCATAGACTCACCCACCAAACTGCTATGTGGGAAGAGAGGTCTCCCTCAGTGTCATGTAACCCTCACTAGCACTCACCTAGCGAGAAAATTTCCCAGAGAAGGACCCCAAAGGACCAGACATCACTCTGGGTGGTGTAGACCTTGTCAAAGATGCTCTCTGGAGCCATCCATTTCAGTGGGAGACGGGCCTGCAGGAGGGAGAGGCAAGGCACAAGCGTTCAGTCAGGGCCATGTCCCAGGACAGCCTTTCTTGTAGGAATGGGATGAAAGGAAACCAGATAGCCCTGCTCCTCTCTCCATGGAGAAATGGAGGTTTGGTGAGGCCAGAGGGAGTGATGAAGACACTGAAAGGGGGAGGAAAG